TCTCAGCGAAGAAGAATCAAAAAGAAACTTCCGCACGAGCAAAACAACGAAATTATATAACTATCCCTGAACAAGCAACAAAACAAGAAGAAAATGAACCAAAAAACACACCGTAAAAGACAAACAAACAAATAGCAAATATGACCAGTAAAAACACAAAAAACAAAAGACATTTCCACAATTCACTCCCAATCAGTTTGGATCAAATAATAAAAAGAATTCACATAATGAATGCGAACGTATAATTTGAAATTCGCATTTTCTATTGTTTCACTCTTATGATAGATAGAGTTGTTTTTGGCTGAGTGCAGAAGAGCTATTCATCATCGGAGAGTGGTTCGTAAGTTGGCGGTGGTGGTCTCGATGCAGGATTGTTGGAAGGAGCCACAGACGAGGTGCTCGATGAGGACACAGTGGTGTCTTGCTCTTGATTGATCGAATCGTGAAGATCTGCGTTTGACAGCACTGGTCGAACGGGTACTGCTGAATTCACGGAGCCATTCTCGGGTAGATTCAACAACGAAAATAACGGCATACAGCTTTGATCCGGTGTACCTGAATCAAGAATACCATTTGAAATATTCTCAACGTTGAATTTCCATTCGAGAATTCCAAACAGACTTATTCGAATATTTTGCTGAGTGCTATGTTAAATGATCATTTATACCACTGTTTGACCAGATCGACAATTTATGATCGACCTGTATAATCCAGGCAAATAGCTAACTGATGTATGCAAACAAAACAATTCGCAAAATTTTTCGGTAAATCATAAATGACGAAAACTAGAAGAAAAAACATTCTCATNTCAGGTCGAGTTTCGGCAGCACTCGGCGTTGCTTTCGTTGGCGTTGTTGGTGTGTTGGCTGCAGTCACAGCTGGTGCTGTGCTCACAGGAGTGTTCTCGACGATAACTTCAGTCTGGAAGACGGATGGCTCAAGAATTCGTCGTAAATTTGAACAGAGCGATGAAGATGAAAAATAAACACCAGCAATTTGAAAAATTCTCATAGCACTATATCATGGTTATATCTCAGCGCAGTGGTTCAATGAGTACCATTTACTAACTGTAAACGCAATAACGCTTATTGTAAGAATTAAATTACGCATAATCTAATTGAAATGAAACACACAAAACCACTGACAATGAAAGTAAATCCAGAGCCTTTCAAATAAGAAATTTGCAACAAGGATAATGAAAAATTGAAGTTCAAATCAAGAAAAGAGAAGATCAGAAGACTCTTGCGATGCCTCTAAAACAAACCTCATTTGGCTTTTTCGAAACAATTTGAGGCGGTTTGCTGACTGGCTCAGAGGACACCGTCGTAGGAACCGTAGTAACGGTCGTTTGCGAAACCTGTATAGTAGATGGTGCTGCTGCTGTTATTGGTGCCGAGGAGGCAGCAGACGTTGTTGTGGTGATCACAGATGGATGAGCGAATGCGGGTGCGGCTGGGAATGCTAGGTTCGACAGGGAACCTGATGGCCGTGGCGATGCGTTAACACTTGGCGACACAGATCCCAGTGATGGAGACATCTGAAGTTAGATAACATCAGAGATTGCTTATCGTTAGCAGTTGAATCATACAATACAGATATTTAGTGAGGCATTCATTAGGAGCAAATTAGAAATATATTCCAATGTACCACTAAACCATTAAATAACTGTAACTGTAAAAGTCTCTGTTATAATTTAATTAGCATATCTCGTAAGAGAAACTTAGCAAATTCACATGAAATTTATATTGTGAAAATGAAATTTATATTGTGAGCATCGAGTGCCATATTATTTTATGGAAATTGTAGCAATTCACAACTATACATAATATCAGTGGTGACGAAATTAA